TATATATATATATATTTAACATAAAAAGCCACTTTCTGGCTGGTTGTGACAAATTTTTATAATTAAATTCTTGTTATGTTTCCGCAAGTTTTTTTTTTTTTTTTTTTTCTTGTGTTTTGTTTCAAATTTTGTTCCTTAATCTGAGCAAATGATCACCAAAGCCAGTCTGTTACTGGCACCTTGTTCCGTCTCTATTATGGTGGTTCTGGTGTAAAAAGCTAACAATGGTGGCTCCAACACCATGAATTCCTCAGATTTTTGGTCCTTTCCCATCTCAGAAAAAATAACATTTGAACCAATTCATTACATCTACTCTTTAGCTCATGAGACACCAACATTTGAAAATAGATAAGTGTTAATATAGCAGATACAATTGTCACTGTCTTCTGTGCATCTAATTGGTTAATTCTTGATTCAACCCCTGTAAGAGTATGATCTTTGAAAACAAAGTAGGAGAGTTAAATTGCAAGTGCAATAGGCGGCCGTGTTTGATGGGTGATCTACAAAGACTGACTGCACAAATCATCTAAGGGGTTGTGTTTCACCGTATTTAAATGAGCAGACTGCATGTAAAATAACAAAATTATGCAAAAATGCTAAAGTCAACGTTAAATATGAAAGATAAAATGGTTATAAAACTTGCAAAGAACAAAGAAGGATCCACAGTGAGATTTATAGCAGATCACAAACAGATGCATTTACATCCACCAACTCTTTAGAGTATTAGACCCAATAACTGCAAAACTGTACTAGTGCCTCATTTGTGACTAAAATGACTTCAGAAACCAGTGTGTGACTTTCATCTGACATATCAAAAGTGCTACAAAGGCAAAAAATTGTAGACTCAGTTTTAGATAAAAAAAAAAAAATTGTTTTGCACATTGTAAATGTTAAAATTTTTATGTCCTAAATATATGCACAATCTGCATAGGGATGAAGGCACACAAAAGATAAATTTGCATGCACTGCTTGCTGAACTTCATGTCCAAGTCCTTCTTTTTTACTAAAGCAACACTGTGTATTTTCTGACCCAAGCATTAACCCTTCTCAAGCTAGAAGTAAAAGGTCTAGAACTTCTAGTGGCTAAAAGTTACAGTGTTGCTTTGAAGATCTACTCATCATGTGCAAACAAGTTTGCATTTGTTTTAGGACATAAAACCTTTAGAAGATCTGGCCTATAATCTTTAGAGACGTGTAATTTTCTTTGCTTTGAAAAAGTAGTCCTGGGAAATTCTAATAGAAAATACCTGACTTTGCTTCTGCAGATGTGTAACAGAGCTTGATTAGGTCAAATTGAGAATAATTAAAAGGACCNTTTGTTTTAGGACATAAAACCTTTAGAAGATCTGGCCTATAATCTTTAGAGACGTGTAATTTTCTTTGCTTTGAAAAAGTAGTCCTGGGAAATTCAAATGGAAATTAAAATATTTGACTCTTTAACCTGATTTGGACAGCTTGATTAGGTCAAATTGAGAATAATTAAAAGGACCATAATTAGGCCATGTTGGGTTTTTTTTTTACGCTTTCTTGCCCTGTCAAACAGCTAAACTCTGCAAAGTGGATTTTCTAAATTTTAAACAAGATCAAGTTAATCTTCACTTCCTGCTTTTGTGCAACACTATTTCAAAGGCAACATCCTGGTTCCTCACTGCGAATTACACTGCACTCCAGACCTCTTTATTGCCTTTTAAAAAGCAATAACATCCAGCAACTAAATTGCCATTAAAACCTAAATCTCCTTGAGCTCATTTTTTTCTTTCTTCATTTTTGAGTCAGTGTAGTACACTGTGGCAGCCAGCCACAGAGCAGTGACTGAGCTCTGATGGGGTTTGATAAGAAAGCACAATACGTCAGCTGAAACCAGATAAATCAAACACCCACTCCATCCTGTTCATCACCGCTTTGGGGTACAATGGCATTTAGTTGCCAGGGAACATTGACCGACACATCATTTAACAGCTATAACAGATCTTTAAGTACGTTTTAAGAATAAGCTGCATTCACTGTGTAATCTGTAGTTCTAGACCAAACACTGTTAATGTACACATTAAATATTCATATTGATTGATTAATCAATCAATTAATGAATTCTTTAAAGAATGTTTTACAGACAAGGACATTTTTGCATAAGAAAAAAAAAGGTGATGACAAAATAGATAAAGACAAATAGAAAATAGTAAAATTAATGAGATAGCATAGAGAAAACATCAAAATGTACAGAAATTTTAAGTTTGACTTTGCTATGAAGGACTGAGAAAACCCAGCTGTGCTCATGAGAGTAGATTCTGAACTCAAGAGGACAGTTACTAAAAAAATCACAAATGCGAAAACATTGAAACCAAAACAAGGCATAGAAAGTAAATATAATCCTCATCTTTTTAATAAAAATACTTTTTTTTTAATCCAGGCTGACATGAGCCCAGAGTTGTAAAATTATGTATTCTTTCTCTACTAAACTTGGACTAGATCATGTTAAATTTTAAGTCCCATTTGAGAGATCTTAGCTGTAACTGTTTTATTTAAGTGTTATTTAAAGTGTTAAATAGCCC